TTGGTGATGGGGCTCATAGGAGGCGTTTGAGTACTGGGGGCAGATCCCTCCTGAATATATGAATCCTCTGCCGGAGCAGGTGGGTGAGTTCCTGCTCTCCTAGTTCCCAAGAGAGCTTGTTGGGAAAAAGAGCCTTGGCCCTCTCCCGGACTCTTGCTTCCTCTCTTGCTATGTGGTCTTTGCACACTCCAGCTCTCTTACTTTCTGCCAGGAGTAGAAGCAGCCTGGAGCTCTCATCAGATGTAGATATCCAATCTTGAACTTTTCCAGACATCAGAATTGCAAACCAAATAAATCTTTTTATGGTGGCCCATAATGGTTTTTCCTTTACGTATTTAGCACTTCCTTAAGGACCTCTTGTAAGGCAGGTCTGGTTATAATAAATTCCCTTAGCATTTGTTTGTCTAAATGGATCCTGTTTTTCCTTTGCTTATGAAGCTTAATTTGGCTGGATATGAAATTCTTGGTTGAAATTTTTTGTTCTCTTTTTTTTTGTTTTGAGACAGAGTCTTGCTTTGTCACCCAGGCTGGAGTGCAGTGGTGCAATCTTGGATTAGCAAAATGGAATGCTGCTATGCTTCCTGTACAAATCTGCAGGACTGTGAGCCAATGAAACCTCTTTTCTTTATAAATTTTCCAGTCTCAGGCATTTCTTTTTTAAATTTTGAAATGGAGTCTTGCTCTGTTGCCCAGGCTGGAGTGTGGTGTCACAATCTCAGCTCATTGCAACCTTTGCCTCCCAGGCTCAAGTGATCCTCCCACCTCAGCCTCCCAAGTAGCTGGACCACAGGCGCATGCCACCATGCCCAGCTAATTTTTTGTATTTTTGGTAGAGATGGATTTCACCATGTTGCCCAGGCTGGTCTCAAACTCCTGAGCTCAGGCAATCCACCTGCCTTGGCTTCCCAAAGTGCTGGGATTACGGGTGTGAGCCACCACGCCCGGCCAGGTATTTTTTTATAGCAATGCAAGACTGGACTAATACTGTAATTTATAAAGAAAAGAAGTTTATTTGGTTCATGGTTCTGCAGGCTGTACAAGCATGGTGCCAATATCAACTTGGCTTCTGGTGAAGCTTCAGGAAGCTTCCACCCATGGAGGAATAGGTACCACATGGCGAGAGAGGGAGCAAAAGAGTAGGGAGAGATGTGAAGCTTCTGTTTTTTAACAGGCAGCTATGAACTAATAGTGCAAGAACTCATCACCAAGGGGAGGCCACCAAGCTGAGGTAGGAGAATAGTGTCTGGAGACAGAGAGCCTAAGGCCAACCTGTGGCTGACTTCTTTGAATTAAACTGCAAGGAAAACTTCAGCCTTTGATTGACTGTGGGCTAATCCTTTGTTTGCATAGGATGTAACTCCACTTCAGCCTCTGATTGGCCATAGGCCAATTCTTTATTTACATAGGGTGTATCCAAGGGGTACCTGGGGGTGTTAGCAAATTCTTCTAGCCTAATAAGAACCCGAGAAACATTTCAGTTGGAGCTCCAAGCATTATGGTTGAGCACTTGCTCTAGCCTGCTTCTGCTCTGTAGACTGTACTTTTGCATCAATAAATCTGTGCATTTGTTGCTTTGCTTGTGCATTTTTAAAAATCCTTTGTTCAAGATGAGAAGAACCTGGACAACTCCTAGTCAAGATCCTCCACTGGTAACGAAGCCATCATGAGGGACCTGCCCCCATGACCCAAACACCTCCTATTGGAGCTCACCTCCAACATTGGAGGTTACATGTTAATGATATTTGGAGGGGACAAATATCCAAACCATATCAGTCCTTGAGGCCTGCTGCAGTAGTGTTTTCTGACCCCTAATACCTGTCCTTTTTCTGTTTTTCTTGACAAAGAGTCTTGCTCTGTCATCCAGGCTGGAGTGCAGTGGTGTGATCTCGGCTCACTGCAACCTCCACCTCCTGGGTTCAAGCAGTTCTCCTGCCTCTGCCTCCTGAGTAGTGGGGAATTACACGTGCCCACTACCACGACTGGCTGATTTTTGTATTTTTTTTTTTTTGAGACAGAGTTTCGCTCTTGTTACCCAGGCTGGAGTGCAATGGCGCAATCTCGGCTGACTGCAACCTCCGCCTCCTGGGTTCAGGCAATTCTCCTGCCTCAGCCTCCTGAGTAGCTGGGATTACAGGATGATTTTTATATCTTTAATAGAGATGGGGGTTCACCATGTTGGCCAACCTGGTCTTGAACTCCTGACCTCAGGTGATGTGCCTACCTCGGCCCCCCAAAGTGCAGGGATTACACACATGAGCCACCACGCCTGGCTGACCTGTCTTTTTTCTATACCAGTTCTCATGCTTACTATTGAGAGTTATTAGTCCATAGGACTGTCCCCACTGCAGACACCAGTAGCAAGTCCTAGCTTTAAATTTAGGGTTCCGCACCACTGCCTCCTCGGGTTCCATAGCATGACTCACAGACCTCAGGAAGTTGCTTTACTTATGTTTACCGGTTTATTATAAAGGATGCAAGTCAGGAACCACCAAATGGAAAAGCTGCACAGGGGCACCTACGGAGGGGTAGGGGCTGAGCAGAGCTACCAGGCTGTCTCTGGCCTTGTCTTCTCCCCAGCACATTGGTTTGTTCACCAACCCAACAGTCCCCATTGTTCAGGGGTTTTTCTTGGAGGCTCTATTACATAGGCACGATTGATAAAATCATAGGCCTTGGTGATGAAGCTCAATCTCCAACCCCTCTTCTGTCCCTAGTGTTCTGTGTTGGGACCAGGGTAGGAGGTACTGAGTTCAAACTCTAGTGGGTTTCTTGGCAACCAGCCTCTATCCTGAAGCTATCTGAGGCTCTGCCCAGTAAGTCATCTCATTAGCATACGAAAGGCAGTCAGCTCTGAGTTTTCTTTCCATCTTTTGTTGCAGTGGCTGCTGCCAGCCCAGAGCTGCTCTGTGGTTCTGTCAGGCCGGTGCATTCTTCCCTAGGGCTTTTTCCTGTCTGTCAACTGCTTCCTGGCAGGATCGGGGCTCACTGTAGCCTCCGCCTCCTGGATTCAAGGGATTCTCCTGCCTCAGACTCCCAAGCAGTTGGGATTACAGGCATGTGCCACCACACCTGGGCTAGTTTTGTATTTTTAGTAGAGACAGGGTTTCACCAGGTTGGTCATGCTGGTCTTGAATTCCTGACCTCAAGTGATCCACCTGCCTCGGCCTGCCAAAGTGCTGGGATTACAGGCATGCGCCCCTGCGCCCAGCCTGTTCTTTACCATTTCTTTTTGCACTTCTCTGTGTTTACTTTTTTTCTTTTTTGAGACGGAGTTTCGCTCTTGTTACCCAGGCTGGAGTGCAATGGCACGATCTCGGCTCACCGCAACCTCCGCCTCCTGGGTTCAGGCAATTCTCCTGCCTCAGCCTCCCGATTAGCTGGGATTACAGGCATGCACCACCATGCCCAGCTAATTTTTTGTATTTTTAGTAGAGATGGGGTTTCACCATGTTGACCAGGATGGTCTCGATCTGTTGGCCTCGTGATCCACCTGCCTCGGCCTCCCAAAGTGCTGGGATTACAGGCTTGAGCCACTGCGCCTGGCCTACTCTTTTTCAATATGTTATTTTCTTCATGAGACAGGATCTCACTCTGTGGCCCAGGCTAGAATGCATTTGTGTGATCATAGCTCATTGGATCCTCTAATTCCTGGGCTCGAGGGATCCTCCTGTCTCGGCTTCTTGGGTAGCTGGGACTACAGCTGTGTGCCATCACTTAATACCTGGCTAATTTTTAAATTTTTTTTGTAGAGTTGAGGTCTCACTTTGTTGCCCAGCCTTGACCTCAAGTGATCCTCCCACCTTGGCCTCCAAAAGTGCTGGGATTACAGACATGAGCTATCTTGCCTGGCTGATACATTTATTCTAGTAGGGCAAGGCAGATTGATCATCCAAAAGCTAAATTAGATTCAGTTTGATGTAAACCCTTATCAGGTGAGAACAGCACAATTGAATGGATGATCTCTGTAATGGTACCCAAGAAGATGGTAAGAGTGAGAATAGAATTTGAATTCATGAAGATACATGTCAGTCACTGAAAACATTTTTCATGAGGAGTGTCACATTCTTGTGCCAGTAGACGGTAATGAGGGCTGCATTTTGCTTATTTGGCTCATTGAAGACTTCTCTTTTTTGTCCTTTTAGGGATTTGCAACAGTTCTTGCTGAAGCAGTTGTGTCCCTGGATCTGCCTGTGGCAATTATTAATCTAAAAGAATATGATCCGGATGATTGTCTGATAGAAGAGGTTGGTAATTGTCTTGTTTTTTCATCAGTCAGAGCTCTCAAATTTAACTGACCTGCAGTCTGCAGAATAATTTTAATTAGATAACTAGAATCTTTAGAAACATTTAGTCTTCTTGCTCAGGGATTTCCGTTTGTTGAATTTCAGTGTGATTCAGAGCATTGAATGTGGGTGTGGCTCACTGATTCTTAGGTGGTGTGGGGCTTGTCCTTCAGGTGTGTTAGATTCTCCTGGGGGTGGAGGTGAGAAAGCTTGGATGGTTGGAAGTTCACTCCTTCCCACTATTTTTTTTTTTTTTGAGACGGAGTTTTGCTCTTGTTGCCCAGGCTGGAGTGCAGTGATGTGTTCTTGGCTCACTGTAACCTCCGCCTCCTGGGATGAAGTGATTCTCTTGCCTCAGCCTTCGGAGTAGCTGGGATTACAGGTGCCTGCCATCACACCTGGCTAATTTTTGTATTTTTAGTAGAAATAGGGTTTTACTGTGTTGGTCAGGCTGGTCTCGAACTCCTGATCTCAGGTGATCCACCCACCTTGGCCTCCAAAAGTGCTGGGATTACAGTCACGAGCCATAGCGCTCAGCTTCTGTTTTTTTTTTTTTTTTTTTTAACTCTGCCTATGTCAGCAACACCAGGAACCAATAACTGTTCAAGCTCCACAGTGTGGCCAGGCTAAGACCTGAGATTCTGTGTTTCTTTTTTTTTTTTTTTTTTTTTGAGATGGAGTTTCGCTCTTGTTACCCAGGCTGGAGTGCAATGGCGCGATCTTGGCTCACCGCAACCTCCGCCTCCTGGGTTCAGGCAGTTCTGCCTCAGCCTCCTGAGTAGCTGGGATTACAGGCATGCGCCACCATGCCCAGCTAATTTTTGTATTTTTAGTAGAGATGGGTTTCACCATGTTGACCAGGATGGTCTCCATCTCTTGACCTCGTGAGCCACTGCGCCCAGCCTGATTCTGTGTTTCTGACAAATTCAGAGGAGATGCTGATGCTGCTGGCTTAGGGTTCACACTTTGAGAACCAACACTGTCGGGTGGGGGAGGGACCTTTTTCAGATGAAGAAAGTAAACCCTCATAGATATTAAGTAATGCAGCCGGGTGTGATGGTCATGCCTGTAATCCCAGCAGTATGGGAGGCGGAGGCAAATAAGTCACCTGACATGAGAAGTTCAAGACCAGCCTGGCAGCATGGTGAAACCCTGTCTCTATTAAAAATACAAAGTTAGCTGGGCGTGGTGGCAGGCACCTTGTAATCCCAGCTACTGGGGAGGCTGAGGCAGGAGAGTCGCTTGATCCCAGGAGGCAGAGGTTACAGTGAGCTGAGATCACACCACTGCGCTCCAGCCTGGGCAACAAGAGCAAAACTCCGTCTCCAAAAAAGAAAGAAGCACGTAGAGCTGGGGTTGACACACTTTCATGCAAAGGGCCAGGTAGTAAGTATCTTCACCTCTGTGGGCCAGACAGCTACTCTGTTTGCCACTGAACCACAAACCACCCATAGGTAATATGTAAGTGAATAAGCATGGGGGTGTTCCACTAAAACTTTCTTTAATAAAAAAGTATAGGCCAGGTGTGGTATCTCTCGCCTGTAATCTTGGCAGTTTGAGAGGTCAGGGCAGGTGGATCGCCTGAGCTCAGGCCTGTGAAAGCAGCCTGGACAACGTGGTGAAACCCTGTCTCTGTTAAAAATAGAAACATTAGCCATGGTGGTCACCTGTAGTCCCAGCTACTCGGAGGCTGAGGGATGAGAATTGCTTGAACCTGGGAGGTGGAGGTTGCAGTGAGCTGAGATCACACCATTGTGCTCCAACCTGGGTGACAGAGCAGACTCAGTCTCAAAAAACAAGAACAGCAAAGGCAGCAGATAAATGTAGTTTTAACCCTGTCCATTTATTTGTCCCCCAAGAAAACATGCTGGAGTGCACATGAGTGAGCTTGAATGTACTCTAAATTATTTGTAAAAGATTATTCTCAAACTTTGATACTTACAGCTAAGAGATTACTTATAACTTACCTTGTGACCGGAACTGTTAAGATGTATTCAAACACCAGGCTATCAAGACTAAGGATACACAGGTTGAGAATCCCTGAACCGCAATTTGGAAATGCTGTAAAATCCAAACTTCTTGAGCACAGATGTGAGGCCACAAGTGGAAAATTCCACACTTGACCTCCTGTGATGGGTCAAGGTAAAAAAGCAGTCAAAACCTTGTTTCATGTATGAAACTGTCAAACGTCATGTATAAAGTTGACCACAGGCAGGTGTGTGAGGTATACATGAGACAATGGAGTTTGTGTTTAGACTTGATACATCCCCAAGATACATCATTATGTATATGTGGTTTTTTTTAAAAACCAGAAAGCGCCTCTAAAATCCGAAACACTTCCGATCCCAAACATTTTGGATAAGGGATACTCAACCTGTATTTTGTTTCCCTGGGATTTGCAACAGTTCTGTTTAGATAATGGTGACAAGTGTTAAATTACTTTATGTTTAAAAACTTTTATTGCTTTGAATTTTAGAGATCTCTCTGTATCTTTTCTTTTCCTTTTCTTTTTTTTTTGAGATAGAATCTTGCTGTGTTGCCCAGGCTGGAGTGCATGGTGCAGTGGTGCGATTGTGGCTCAATACAGCCTCCAGTTTTTAGGCTCAGGCAATTCTCCTGCCTCAGCCTCCTGAGTAGCTGGGACTACAGGAACCCACCACCATGCCTGGCTAATTTTTGTATTTTTAGTAGAGATGGGGTTTCACCATGTTGACCAGGCTGGTCTTGAATTCCTTACCTCTTGATCCACCCGCCTCAGCCTCCCCTGGGATTACAGGTGTGAGCCATGGGCCCAGCCGACATCCACTGCCTTGATATGGATATTCACAGCTTCCTGCCTGAGGAGATGGTAATGGACCAAGAACCAACTCCCCATTCCTTGAAGATTTCAGAGATTTAAAACAATCTCCAACACCAAACACAACTCTTAGCAAAAGCTGCCTTGAAGCAGATGGGTAAGAGAGGTCACCACATTCCTCGTCTTTGTGACACCACAGAGCAGCTTCCACTCTAAGGAGGCAGGAACATGAGCTGTTGCTTTCTCTTAAGGTTTGAAACTCAGGTGCCTTATTTTCCCCCATGTGTTCTTCCATTAGTAGCCACCATGCCTGGCCATCTCTCTGTATTTTTTCTTCATCGATTTAGATTTGTTTCCACTGTGGCAAATCAGCGATGATAGAATGTAGTGTAATCTGGAAAGTGGAATGGCAATGTGGTGAAATACACCAGACAGTATATTGGCAGGCGCAGGAGTCTGGGTCTTCTCCCCCCAAGAACACAGCAAGGTGTTCTTGCTTCGTTTCTCAGTGATGCCCCTCACTTTTGAAAATGAGGTGTGTTGATGAAAGTGCCCTCTGTCCTTAGAGATGAGTATGCATTTTTTCAAAGGATTTTCTTCATTGAGATAATATTTATGCCTTGAGTATTCTACTGAAACAATTACTCTATTGGTTAGGTTACTGGTAAACATGTCTGTGTCTTCCTGGTGGCGACATACACTGATGGCCGACCAACCGAAAGCGCAGAGTGGTTTTGCAGCTGGTTAGAGGACGCGTCCCGTGATTTTCGATTCGGCAAAACTTACCTGAAGGGTATGAGATACGCGGTGTTTGGCCTGGGAAATTCTGCCTATGCCAGCCACTTCAACAAGGTAGGTCTGTTTTGAATTACAGGAATAAATTCTCCCTACACGCAAGCACGCGCGCGCGCGCACACACACACACACACACACACACACACACCCCTACCCACATACCCATATGTGAAATAATCCACAGACTTTGGTAGCTAGTTAGAAACACGTTTCTTTGTTATTTTATTGATTGATTGAGACAGAGTATTGCTTTATCGCCAGGCTGGAGTGCAGTGGCACCATCTCAGCTCATTGCAATCTCCACCTCCCAGGCTCCAGTGATTCTCCTGCCTCAGCCTCCTGAGTAACTGATATTACAGGCATGTGCCACCATACCTGGCTCATTTTTGTAGTTTTACTAGAGACAGGGTTTCGCCGTGTTGGCCAGGCTGGTTGTGAACTCCTGGCCTCATGTGATCTGCCTGCCTTGGCCTCCCAAAGTGCTGGGATTACAGGTGTGAGCCACTGTGCCCAGCCTCTTCTCTTCTGCTATTCCTTTTTTTTTTTTTTTTTCTGGAGACACAGTCTCCCTCTATCCCTTAGCTGGAGTGCAGTGGTGTAGTCTTGGCTCACTACAACCTCTGCTTCCTGGGTTCAAGCGATTCTCATTTCTCCTGCCTCAGCCTCCTGGAGTAGCTGGGCTTATAGGCACCTAATTTTTGTATTTTTAGTAGAGACAGGGTTTCTCCATGTTGGCCAGGCTGGTCTCCATCTCCTGGCCTCATGTGATCTGCCTGCCTTAGCCTCCTAAAGTGCTGGGATTACAGAAGTGAGCCACTCTGTCTGGCCCTCTTCTGTTATTCTTTAAGCTGCGTACTGCTACACATACTATTCAAACTTGGCATACAGTAGATTCTCAATACTTTTTTCTTGAATAAAATGAATGAGTGTTCCTCATTAGTGTTTTAGTGGGCTGGATTCATGATGCTCAGGCAGGACCTTGTAGATGGAACATCACTGTGTGTTTGGATTTGCTCAATTGCCTTTTCTGTTGTTGATTGACCTTTATTGCCCAAGCTCTGTTGTTTTTTTTGAGACGGAGTCTTGCTCTGTTATCCAGGCTGGAATGCAGTGGTGCCATCTTGACTCACTGCCTCCCGGGTTCAAGGGATTCTCCTGCCTCATCCTCCTGAGTAGCTGGCATTACAGGCGGCCATCACCATGTCTGGCTAATTTTTTTTGTATTTTTAGTAGAGATAGAGTTTTGCCAGGTTGGCCAGGCTGGTCTCAAACTCCTGACTTCTGGTGGTTCACTTGCCTCAGCCTCCCAAAGTACTGGGATTACAGGTGTGAGCCGTTGTACCCGGCCTGCCCAAGCTATTAATGCAGGTGAAGTCTTAATTTAAAAAAAATTTTTTTTTCAAGACAGGGTCTTGCTTTGTCACCCAGGTTGGAATGCAGTGGCCTGATCAGAATCCTCAGAACCTTGAAGTCCTAGGCTTGAAGGATCCTCCCAACTCAGCCTCCCTAGTAGCTGGAACTATAGGCATGCACCACCAGCCCTGGCTAATTTTTTAATTTTTTGTAGAGATGAAGGTCTCACGGTGTTGCCCAGGCTGGTCTCAAACTCCTGGCCTCAAGCAGTACTTACCCACCTCTGCCTCCCGGATTACTGGGATTACAGGTGTGAGTGTGTCCAGCCTGTACTCAGTTTGTAAAAATCATGAATTTTTTCAAGGGAAATGAAGGGAAAAACGTTCACTGCACTTAAAATAAAACATTAAAATTTGGTTAGCTTTCCTGGGCTCTTTTTCTAAATGAAATTAACATGGCTCCTTTTGCATCCTTTTCTTTACACTTGAAAAAAATGAAACGACGGAGGCTCTCAGTTTCTTGGTCATATGCATTGCGTACCTCTACCTAGGGTTGGGCCCTGCCTGACTGTCTGTCTCTGGTGGAATGTGAGTGGTGGTGGAGGTGGGCAGCTTTCTTTAAAAGCTGGTTTCAACTGGGCGAAGTGACTCATGCCTGTAATCCCAGCACTTGGGAGGCCAAGGCGGGCCGATCACCCAAGGTTGGGAGTCTGAGACCAGCCTGACCAACGTGGAAAAACTCTGTCTCTACTAAAAATACAAAATTAGCGGGGCCTGGTGGCGCTTACCTATAATCCCAGCTACATGGGAGGCTGAGGCAGGACAATCACTTGAACCTGGGAGGCAGAGGTTGCTGTGAGCCAAGATCATGCCATTGCACTACAGCCTGGGCATAAAGAGCGAAACTCCATCCCAAAAAATAAAATAAAATAAGATAAATAAAATAAAAGCTGTTTTCATTCTGTTGTCATATCACAATGTAGATTTTGCCCCAGGTTTCCATTGAAAACATTTTTGATTATGTTTTTTTTTGAGACAGGGTTTCACTGTGTTGCCTAGGCTGGAGTTCAGTGGCATGATCATAGCTTACTGCAGCCTCGACCTCCCTGGGCTCAGGTGATCCTCTCACCATAGCCTACTGAGTAGCGGGGACCACAGGTGCCCACCACCACACCCAGTTAGTGTTTGTATTTTTTGTAGAGACAGGGTCTTGCTCTGTTGCCCAGGCTGGTCTTAAACTTGGGCTTGAACATTCTTCCAAAGTGCTGGGATTACAGGCGTGAGCCACTGTGCCTTGCCTCTCCCCATACTTTCGAATAAATTAGACTATATGAATGGAAAATTCAGATATGTAAATTTTTTTCTTTTCCCGAAACAGAGTCTCACTTTGTTGCCTAGCCTAGAGTGCAATGGTGCTATCTTGGCTCATTGCAACCTCTGCCTCCTGTGTTCAAGCAATTCTCATGCCTCAGCCTTCCAAGTAGCATGAATTAGAGGTGTGTGCCACCATGCTGAGCTAATTTTTGTATTTTTAGTACTAGAGACAGGGTCTCTCACCATGTTGTCCAGGCTGGTCTTGAACTCGTGACCTCAAGCAATCTGCCTGCTTTGGCCTCCCAAAGTGCTGGGATTACAGACATGAGACACTGCGCCTGGCCTAGATACGTAAATATTTTGTCTAATGCCTTGCCACTCAGGAAGCTTAAGTTTTTGAACTCTTAACTGTGCCTCTGATAACCCCTGGGGCTCAGTTAATTGATTCATATCACAGTGAAAGAAATTATTGAGTTTAGGAAGTCATGAGTCTTACCAAATTGATTACATTTTCAATTTATAACTGAATAGGATTAGGCTTCATAAGCTTTGTTACGTTTTTGGAACCCATTTATTTGGTTAACACCTGTTTTGTCCTTATCATGATATAGAATGGTAGGTTTCAAATTTTTTTTTAGTCATTAACTCTTCGTTTGTTAAAGGGGGGTTGTTTGTCCCTTTGTTTAAAAAAAAAAATCTAACGCCGAAAAGTGGAATATGTAAAATGCAGCTCTTCTGGGTCAAGGCTGGAGATTGAAGACCTGAAGGTCATTTTGCTGAGCAATTTCCTCTTCCTCAGCAGCAGCTGGTGACCAGGGGCCCCAGAAGGACTTAGGGCTTTTGCACAGCAGTCTGGAAAACCTGATTTAGAGGACTGTGCTTTCAGCCCATCTGTCTTTTCCTCACAGGTTGGCAAAAACGTTGACAAGTGGCTCTGGATGCTTGGTGCGCATCGCGTGGTGAGTCGAGGGGAGGGTGACTGCGATGTGGTTAAAAGCAAGCATGGCAGCATCGAGGCCGACTTCAGAGCCTGGAAGGCCATGTTCATCTCCCAGCTGCAGGCACTTCAGAAAGGGGAGAGAAAGAAGTCCTGTGGCGGCCACTGCAAGAAAGGCAAATGTAAATCTCAGCAACATGGCTCAGAGGAGAGGGAGGAAGGCTCTCTCGAGCAGGATGAATTACATCACAGAGATACCGAGGTACACCGCCTGTGTGTTCATCTCTGGCTGCTTTCCCCCTCTGCTTGGAGATCCCGAGCTTGACCTCTTCTCCAATAAACTATCTTGTTGGCTTCCAGTTAGAAGGAAGATCTGGCTGGGCGCAGTGGCTCACATCTGTAATCCCTGCACTTTGGGAGGCCAAGGGAGGAGTACTGCTCGAGCCTAGAAGTTTAAGACCAGCCTGGGCAACATAACAAGACCCTACTTCTACCACAATCATTTTAAGTTTAGCTAGGCATGGTGGTGCAGGCCTGTCGTCTCAGCTGCTTAGGAGATGGAGTTGGGAGAATGGCTTAAGCCAGGCACTCTAGGCTGCAGTGAGCTGTGATCGTGGCACTGCCTTCCAGCCTGCGCAACAGAGTGAGGGCCCTGCCTCAAAAACAAAAACAACAAGAAAAGAAGAAAGATGTGAATCTCGTGGTGATGTTTCAGAGAAAGAGAGTGAGGCCTTACGAGTTAAGCCATATCGTGCTAGATGCTTTCCAAAATCTCCTCTTTATACTGGGCACAGTGGCACACGCTTGTAATCCCAGCACGTTCCTAGGCCAAGGAAGGTGGATCACTTGAGGTTGGGAGTTTGAGACCAGCCTGGCCAACGTGGTGAAATCCCGTCTCTACTAAAAATACAAAAATTAGCTGGGCATGGTGGTGGGTGCCGGTAATCCCAGCTACTGGGGAGGCTGAGGCATGAAAATTGCTTGAACCTGGGAGGTGGAGGTTGCAGTGAGCTGAGATCACGCCACTGCACTCCAGCCTGGATGATAGAGTGAGACTCGGTCTCAAAAATAAGCAACAACAACAATAAAACCAAAATCTCTGCTTTAATCCTTGCAGTGTTAGAGTCAAATAGATTTTTACCACATTTTGCAAGTTGTAAAACAGAGCCATCGAGAAGTTAAATTTGTCCCAGTCTGAGCTCACGTCTCATTATCCCCAGATCATACGTACCTCCTGAGTTCAGTGACTCTGTTAGTCACTCAAACCGAAGGCTGCAAGTCATCCTAGATTAGGCTCTTTTCTCCCCCTCACATTCTGAGCATTTCTCTTGCTTCCTTCTTTAAATACCCCAGTTCCTTTCAAGCTCCTGTCTTCAGGCTGTAACACTGCTGTCATCTTCACAGCTGTTATCTTTAGGCCACCTGGTCAGCTGCATAACTCAGCAGCAGCTTTACATTCTGACTCATGGTTTCTCTCACCACCCTGTTCCTGTCATTATTCTTTGAGGCTGTGACACCCTTGTGGATGATCTGTCTACCACCCTGGCCTGCCAATTTCCCGGCCTTCACACCTCCAGCAGCCATTTCTCCACTGACCTTGGTCTCTCGCTCACATGGGCACATCTGAAATTCAGGTTCCTCTCATGCTTACCATGACCTCATTCTGTGACCTCTACTTTAACAACATTGGTTTTTTTGTTTTTTTTGAGACAGAGTCTCACTCTGTCACACCCAGTCTGCAGTACATGGTGTGATCATGGCTCACTGCAGCCTCAACCTCCCTGGGCAGTGGTGATCCTCCCACCGCAGCCTCCCAAGTAGCTGGGACTATAGGCGTGTGCCACCACACCTAGCCAATTGGTCTGTTTTTTGCAGAGATAGGATTTCACCATGTTGCCCAGACTTGTTTCGCACACTTGGGCTCCAGTGATCCGCTTGATCTGGCCTCCCAGAGTGCGGGGATTGTAGGATGAGCCACTGTACCTGGCCTTTAATATTCTTTTGACCCCATCTGAACCTATACCTTTTTTATTGGGTAGCAGAAACTGCTCACTTCATTTCCCTTCGTAAACTCAGTTTTGAGTTTTATCCTCACTCTGTTATAAACCTCTTCAATTCTTTTTTTTTGGTTTGAGACGGAGTCTTGCTCTGTTGCCCAGGCTGGAGTGAAGTGGCACATCTTGGCTCACTGCAACCTCTGCCTCCTGGATTCAAGGATTCTCCCGCCTCAGCCTCCTGAGTAACTGGAATTACAGGTCCATTCCACCACGCCTGGCTAATTTTTGTACTTTTTTTTTTTTTTTTTTTTTTTAGAAAGACGGGGTTTCACCATGTTGGTCAGGCTGGTCTTGAACTCCCGACAGGTGATCCGTCCACCTTGGGCTCCAAATTGCTTTGATTACAGGCTTGAGCCACCACGCCTCGCCAATTTTTGTATTCTTAGTAGAGATGGGGATTTCGCCATGTTGGCCAGTCTGGTCTCGAACTCTTGACCTTCTGTATTATTCATTTCTTCTCTCTACTAGATTGTTCCCATAAATTTATAAACACACTCTAGAATTGTTTGTATTTAAAGGAACTTAAAAAACAAACTGGTTGGGTACGATGGCTTACGCCTCTTATTCCAGCGCTTTCAGAGGCTGAGGTAAGAGGATTGCTTGAGCCCTGGTGGGCAAGGTTGCAGTGAGTTATGATCACACCACTGCACTACAGCATGGGTGACAGAGTGAGATCCTGTCTAAAAAAAAAAAAATATCAGACCGGGTGCAAGTGGCTTGCGCCTGTAATCCCAGAACTTTACGAGGCCAAGGTATGCGGATCACCTGAGATCAAGAGTCTGAGACCAGCCTAGCCAACGTGGTGAAACTCCGTCTCTACTAAAATACAAAGAAATTAACTGGGCATGGTGGTGCCTGGCCAATGTGCTGAAACTCCGTCTCTACTAAAAATATAAATATTAGCTGGGTGTGATGGTGCGCGCCTGTAGTCCCAGCTACTTGGGAGGCTGAGACACGGTAATTGAATCGCTTGAACACAGGAGGTAGAGGTTGCAGTACGCCGAGATCACGCCACTGTACTCCAGCCTGGGCGGCAGAGCAAGATTCTTTCTAAAAAAAAAAAAAAAAAAAAGAAAAACAAAAAAACAAAACCAAAATACTGTAGCCTTTGATTCTGGCTTATCCTCCACTGGAGAAAGGGATGAAGGCTGCCACATATTAGCCATGATTTCTTAACTTCTCTAGCTTTGATTTTCTCGTCTATGAGATGATGTTGAACCTATCCACATCGTAAGTAGTTAAGGATGAAGTGAATGGTAAATGAACATGGGCACATAGTAGATACTCAGCAAATGTGTCTCCCTATTGATGCCACATTTCCTATACGTCTGCCTGGCATGTGTCTCATTCTCCTGAGCCCAGCTCATGTCATTTTGACGTGGGAGGGCAGGTGAAGTGTTAGTTGTTCTCATTGCATCATACCCTTTCACAGTGATTAGTCTGATGCCAAAGACCTAAGATTGATTTCTTCTTTTTTTGTTTTTTTGTAGAGATGGGGGTTTCATTATGTTACCCAGGCTGGTCTTGAACTTCTGGCTTCAAGTGACACTCCTGCATCAGCCTCCTAAGTAATTGGGACTATAGGCATGTGTACTACCACGTCTGGCTAATTGTAGCAATGTGGCCTCACTATGTTCCCCAGGCTGGTTTCAAACTGTTGGCCTCAAGCAATCCTCCTGTCCTATCCTCCCAAAGTGCTGGGATTATGGGAGTGAGCCACCATGCCCAGCCTAGATTTTATTTTTAAATCAAGAATTTAGAGACAGCTGGCCTTGGTGGCTCACACCTGTAATCCCAGCACTTTGGGAGCTGAGGTGGGTGGATCACGTGAGGTCAGGAGTTCGAGACCAGTCTGGTTAACATGGTAAAACCCTGTCTCTACTAAAAATACAGAAATTAGCCAGGCATAGTGGTGGGGGCCTATGATCCCAGCTACTTGGCAGGCTGAGGCAGGAGAATTGCTTGAACCCAGGAGGAGGAGGTTGCAGGGAGCTGAGATCACGCTAATGCACTCCAGCCTGGGCGAAAGAGCAAACGAGAGTCCATCTCAAAAAAAAAAAAAAAAAAGAATCTAGAGATACAGTGAATTCTCAGTATGGGAGGGAGTATAAGACAACTTTGCCTTTACCTCTTGGAACAATGTATTTCTGAAGCATTTCTGTTCCAGGAGGAAGAACCCTCCGAGGGCTCCAGTGGAGAAGAGTTTGGTGGTGAGGACCAGCAGAGTGTAAATTCCATTGTTGATGTTGAAGATCTTGGCAAAATAATGGATCATATGAAGAAAGAAAAGGTACCATTACTTTGGGAAATGTTGGACTTGGCTCCTGCAGTTGGTTAACATTTAGTATTTTTGTATTGCTGTGTAGTCCATCTGAGCTCACAAGAAGAGTTTCATTTCTCTAGCTCCTGTCTTGAGAGCTTTATAAGTTTTTTTGCCATTTTTTCATGAGCACGGTGAACATCTTCCTCTCAGCCCTGTGAAAGTCGGCCCATCAGAGGATAAGCAGATTTGAGATTTGAGAGCAAGGACTGAGGACAGTGTAGATCGGGGGCGTCCAATCTTTTTGCTTTCCTGGGCCACATTGGAAGAAAAATTGTCTTGGGCCACACATAAAATACACTAATGATAGCTGATGACCTGAAAAAAAAATCTCATAATGTTTTAAAGTTTACAAATTTGTATTGGGCCAGTGGGCCGTGGGTTGGACAAGCCTGGTGTGTAGATGGTTAGAGAGATTTTTATTCAGGGCTGTTTGAAGATGAACAGCATGATAGGATTTATCATGGTTGAGATTCCAAGTGGAACTGTGGTGTAAATTTGCTTCCCTGCTGTATGGACTGAGTGGTGTTAGGGCTTAAGGATGGCACCCTGGTCTGTGTGTGTTGAGATCGGCATGATTGGGGCCCCGACAAATCCAGGAAATGTTGGTCTGGGATGTGACTGTTTGAGTGACTAGATGGATGTGAGAAAGTACGGTGCAGTAGGGTTTCATGCACCGAGTCAATTTTAGATTCCAGTGATCTAAAATTGAAATAATATTATATGTACTGTACTATAAAAACAGCAGCCTCAATTTAAGTGTGAGTTTTGGAAAATGAGAATTCCCTAAATTAAAATTATATTTAGTCCATAAGCCTTAGAATAAAAAGAAGTAAAGCTAGTAGAAAATCAATGCTAAAACCTATACAAATTCAGATGAACTCAGTAAGGCTAGCCAGATATCATAATGTAAAAAATACACTTTATATTTCCAAACAACAACCAGTTAGAAGCTATAGTAAATGAGAAGACCTCATTTAGACTAGCTACATAAAAGGCAAATAATTACGCATTGATTTATTTTTTAATTTTTTGTTTTTTAGAGGTGGTGTCTCATTCCATCACCCAGGCTAGAGTGCAGTCAGTGGTACAGTCTCAGCTCACTGCAACCTCTGGCTTCTGGGTTCAAGTGATTTTCCTGCCTCAGTCTCCTAAGTAGCTGGGACTAACAGGTGTGTACCACCACGCCCGGCCAATTTTTGCATTTTTAGTAGAGACAGGGTTTTGCCATGTTGACCAGGCTGGTCTTGGACTCCTGCCCTCATGTGGGAGGGTTAGTCCTCTTCATCACTACTTTCACTGGGGTTTTCGTAACTATGGCTCCGTGTTTACTTTTTCCACATAAATAGAGCAGTCTAGATCTAGGAGGCTGGAGGACCTACCGGATCCATCTGCCTTGGCCTCCCACAGTGCAGGGATTACAGGTGTGAGTCACCGCACCTGGCCTACATACAAATTAATTAAACAAAATGTCTTAAATCTGTGTTGGAAAACTTTAAGACATTCCTGAGTGATATCAAAGTGGACCCAAACAAATGGAAAGACATTCCTTGTTTTAGGTAGAGTGGCTCAGAATGGCAAAGATGTCAGTTCTCTTAACATACAAGTTTGGTGCAATCCCAGTAAAAATTCCGGTAGGCCCTCCAGCCTCCTAGATCTAGACTGCTCTATTTATGTGGAGAAAGTAAACACGGAGCCATAGTTACGAAAACCCCGGTGAAAGTAGTGATGAGGAGGACTAACCCTCCCACATTGAAACATACCACAAGGCATCTCTAATTAAAATGCTAGTACTGGCTCATGATGACACAGAAAGACCGTTGCAACAGAATAAAATTCTCAGAATATGTAGGAATTTCATATATGTTAAAGGTAGACTCTGAAGACCTCGAGTTTAAAAGGGAATCTAAAAATAAATTATGTTGGCTGAGTGCGGTGGCTCACCCTGTAATACCAGCACTTTGGGAGGCTGAGGTGATGGGAGGATTTCTCGAGGCCAGAAGTTTGAGATCATGATAGTGAAACCCCATCTCTATAAGAAATAAAAAAAGCTGGATATGGTGGCATGTGCTCATATTCCCAGCTTCTTGGAGGGTAAGGTGGGAGGATTGCTTGAACCTGGGAGTTGGAGGCTGCAGTGAGCTGTGGTCATGTCACTGTACCCTGGCCTGCATGACATTGCCAGACCTTGTTTCAAAAAAAAAAAAAGAGATGTTGTGAAACATCTGTTAGCTTTGTTAGCTCATATATATATATATATATATATATATATATATATATATATATATCAGAACAATTTCCAAATGGATGAGGGACTAAATGTTGAAAAACCTGGAGAAAGCTTCCTCTGTGATTGAAAATCACGAAGCAGTAAAAGAATATTAAATTGAAGAATGACTTTAAAGAGTTTTACATGGCTATAAAAACCAAAAGACAAAAGAAAATCAAAAGGCAAATAACACAGGAGAAAATATTTGCCCCTTATATCTCAGAGAAAGTATTAATCTTTTTACTATACAGTGAGCTTTTAAAAAAAGGCAGACCGGGCCAGGTGTGGTGGCCCACGCCTGTAATCCCAGAACTTTGGGAGTCTGAGGCGGGCGGACCACGAGATCAGGAGATCAAGACCATCCTGACCAACATGGTGACACCCTGTCTCTACTAAAATACAAAAAAAATTAGCTGGGCCTGGTGGCATGTGCCTGTAGTCCCAACTACTCGGGAGGCTGAGGCAGGAGAATTGCTTGAACCCAGGAGGTGGAGATTGTGGTGAGCCAAGATTGCATCACTGTGCTACAGGCTGGGCGACAGTGCTAGACTCTGTCTCAAGAAAAAAAAGAAAAGGCATACCTGGCCAGGTATAGTGGCTCATGTTTGTAATCCCAGCACTTTGGGAGGCTGAGGCAGGCAGATCACTTGAGGTCAGGAGTTGAAGATCAGCCTGACCAACATGACAAAATCCCCATCTCTACTAAAAAATACAAAAAAAATTAGCTGGGCATGGTGGTACACAGCTGTAGTCCCAGCTACTTGGGAGGCTGAGGCATGAGACTCACTTGAACCCAGGTGGCAGAGGTTGCAGTGAGCTGAGATTTTGCCACTGCACTCCAGCCTGGACAACAGAGTGAGACTCCATCTCAAAAAAAAAAAAAAAAAAAAGGCAGGTCCTGCCAGATCTGCCATGGCTCACACCTGTAATCCCAGCACTTTGAGAGGCTGAGGCAGGTGGATCACCTGAGGTCAGGAGTTTGAGACCAGCTTGACCAACATGATGAAACCCCATCTTTACTAAAAATATACAATTAGCTGTGCATGGTGACACACACCTGTAATCCCAGCTACTTAGCACACTGAGGCAGGAGAATCACTTCGCTTGAGTCCAAGAGACTGAGGTTGCAGTGAGCCAAGATTGTGCTATTGCACTTCAGCCTGGGCAACAAGAGTGAAACTCCATCTCAAAAAAAAAAAAAATAGGCTAGACCAAAAACCTAGTAGAAAAAGTTGGCAAAACATGTGAATAAGAATTTCTCAGAAATGGCTCTACAAAGAAATTTAAACATGATAAGATGCTTAACTTTACTTATAATAAGAGAGAAGCAAATGAAAACTACACTGGTAAACATTCTCACCTCTCAACATAACAGCAAAAACTCAAAAGCTGGGTGACATGCTCAGCGGGCAGGCTGTGAGTAAACAGGCACTCACACCTTGCAGGGGGGAGACTAGGGTGCTCTAGCCTGTAGGGAAGGGCTTTTGGCAGTTTTTGCCAAAATCACATATGCATTTATCCATGAACCAGCAGGCCTAGTTGTATGAGTTTGCCTTAAAGATACAGCTTCACTAATGCAAAACAGCATTTGCAGAGGCTTATGGGTTTCAGCATATGTAGCAAACAACTCTGCTGAACACTGGTTGAAAAAGCATGGTATATCCATGCAATGGACTGTTGTTGTGTGGCTCTGAAAAATACTATGGTGGATTCACATGCATTAATGTGACTTCCAAGTGGTGTTGGATTTCATGTGGAGGCTGATATGGGCTTAAGATTTTTAAAAATGTGCATTTGTAGCTGCAAACTTAGTTTAAATATGCATATATGTGTATGTGTGTGTGTTTATAGATAGTATTTTCTAGCTATGTTCACTGACAGGACTTTGCATGTTCTAACATCGATTCTCTGGCACCAAATGGATACCCTGTAGTTCAGTTCAATTCTGACGTGTCCTATCCAGGGTTACTGTCTACCTGCACTGGTTTAGGGCAGAGGCCTATAGACGACTGCCTTGGCTTGAGACATCAGCTGGAAATCTCATGGCTACCTACTCTTGCCGGAATGACTCACAGAACTCCCCGAAAGCTCTATACTTAAGATTGCAGATTTGTTTTCATTTTTTGTTGTTTTTGAGACATGGTCTCACTCCCTCATCCAGGCCAGAGTGCAGTGGTGTGATCACGGCTCACTGCAGTGTTGAACTCCTGGGCTCAAGGGATCTTCCTATCTCGGCCTCCTGAGTAGCTGGGACTACAGACATGCACCACCACACCAAGCTCATTTTGAATTTTTTATATAGACAAGGTCTCATTCTGTTGTCCAGGCAGATCTAGATTGCTGTTTTATTATAAAGGCCACAGATGAGAAATGGAAGAGGTAGTTTTGGGCAAGGTCCAGGGAGTGTGCATGAGGAAGAGACACAGAGCTTCTGTGTCTTCTCCTCTTGGAATCCAGGCACATCAGTGTGTTCCTCAACCAGGAAGCCCCACTGAACTTCAGTGTCCAGGGTTTTTATTGGTGTCCCATCATGCAAGCATGATTGGTTAAACCATTGGGTGGCTGATGAAGTTCAATCTCCAGTGAACTTTCTTTTCTCAAAGGTCAGGCTGGCCCTAAATTCTAATCCTCTAATCATGTGGTTTCTTTCTGGTGATCAGCCTTCATCCTGAATCTATTACTTAGGAAATGCCCAGGTTTT